GAGCGGGTCATCCAAACCCTATAACTGTCGTCATTTTTGGGCTTTCGCGCTGCCAGAACGCCACTCCCGGGCCACATTGTGCATGCCCGGTGCCAACTGTAAGCCACTTCGTGTTCTTCGTGCTCCCTGAACACAATTCCCGGGCCACATTTTGAAACCCCGGAGCCAACTGTAGGCCACTTCGTGTTCTTCCTGTTCCCAGAACACCACTCCCGGGCCACATTCTGGATGTCCGGAGCCAACTGTAAGCCACTTTGCGTTCGTCGTGTTCCCGGAGCGTCATTCCCGGGCTACATTTGTGAATTTCGAATCCGAGGAGGGTCCTCGGAATTCGTATGCCTGCCGTCACTTTATGACTGCCTGGCCGAGGCGGCGACGGCGCCGAGGAAAACCGACATGCGCGCCCGTGCAATGGAAAGGCGAGGCGGTGGCAGGGCGCGAAAAAAACACGAGGGCGAGGTCGGGGGCAACGTAGGGAGCGGGGGGAGGGCCCGCGCCAAGCGAGAAGAAATATACGCAGAAGAGACAATCAGGACGCTTCACCAACCACGAGGACGACGGTGAGCGCTTTTTCCAGATTCGCCCAGAGGATTCTCATGTGGGGTCCTTCCGTCGGAGTAATTGTTGTAGTAGCTGGCATTGTTGATGTGGTCGTAGTAGTGGCCGTGATGCGTGCACCAGTAAAAGTATGCCGGCCCTGTCGGCGTGTGTGAGGGGTTTCTCCGTTCGACTCGTCGTCTCCGTCGTCTCCGTTTTCCCCCTCCCAGGGCTCTCCTCCTCAAGCGCGCTGTCCAAAGCTAAATTCAACGACGTCGTAGTGGAGTGGAAGGGAAGCCCCTTCCCTTTGATCCCTTCCCCGCAGAAAGGGGGGGGGAAGGGGGGAAGGGAGGGAGGGGCCGGGGGGAAGGGAGGGAGGGGGGGGGGGAGGGCCGGGGCAGATACGACGCTCGCCGGGGCGCACTTTTCTCGAGCGGGCACGCACGGGATGCACCTCCTCCTCCTCCTCCTCCTCCTCCTGGTCCTCCTTCTCCTCCTCTCCTTCCTCCTCCTCCTCCTCCTCCTCCTCCTTTTCCTCCTTTTCCCTCCTCCTCCTCCTCCTCCTCCTCCTCCTCCTCCTCCTCCTCCTCCTCCCGCAGAGGCGTCCCGGGAGCGGGCCCCGAGTCAAAATACCACCCCCCTAGGGCGCATTTTCCTCGAGCGGGCACGCCCGAGATGCACTTCTTCCTTTTCCGGGAGCACGTCCCAAGTCAGAATATCACACTCCCGGGGCGCACTTTCTTCGAGCGGGCACACAAAGGATGCACTTCCTCCTCCTCCTCCTCCTCCTCCTCTTCCTCCTCCTCCTCCTCCTCCTCCTTCTCCTCCTCCTCCTCCTCCTGCTCCTCCTCCTCCTCCTCCTCCTCCTCCTCCTCCTCCTCCTCCTCCGCTTCCTCCCCCCGCTCCTAGCCCGTTCGATCAGGGTCGGCGGCACCGGCCGTCAGGCCTCTCCAATAACAGCAGACATCGGAACATACCAGCGACGGTGGCACAACCAGTACCAATAGGAGTTTCAGCAGTACCACCCCTGGATCAACAAATGGTGATCGCGATTATGCGAGGGAACAACCCTCGGACCTTCGCTAATCGATAAAACCTCGAGCTTCGACCTTCGATCGATCCCAAGGTGACTCTCAGACAGGCTCGTGACCCGAACGGAAGAACGGCGCCGCAGGGGTGGACGAGACGCGCGGTTGCTAGGACAGCTCAAACGAACTCGCCACTTTCTGGCGGCGTGCAAAGCGGGGGGAAAATACCCCTTGAGGAATTCACAGGCGATATCGCCACTCTCAAGCGGCATGAAGATCGATCCGGTTTTTGCCTCAGGAAGTCCCATGCGACATCGCCAGTTTCAGATGTCAGGGCAAATTGTCAGATCACCCTGGAGGGCGATCTGACGCTAGTTTGAGAAAGTCTCGGGCGGAATCGCTCAGACGCTGACCCCACTTGGCCTTTATACTAGCCGGCCGCTCTGCGGTTGATCGGGAGTTTCTGTATATAGAAGAAGGTGCGTGCGCTTGTTGGCGAGGGTGAGGATGAGGTTCCTCCTCCTCCTCCTCCTCCTCCTCCTCCTCCTCCTCCTCCTCCTCCTCCTCCTCCTCCTCCTGGAACTCCCAAATCGGCCCGAACTCCAACATTGCCCCGGGGCCCCGCGGCCGAACGGGAGGCCAACCGCGTGTCTCTCGCTCCCCACGGCCTCCTCTTTTCAATACCAGCGGGCTCTAGTACACCCTGCGAAATGCTTTAGAAATCATGGGTTAAGAAATTCATAGTCTCAGAACTTGACTAAAAAAACGACAAATTCTATTGAAATCTTAGGATTTACATTGAAACGTTAAGAATAATCGAGGCTCTGGCCGAAAACTTCGGTTTTCTTAAGCATCGCCTAAGGTGTACTTGCGCTAGCACGCGATAGTATGAGTGATAAGAAGAGCACTAGGACAGGTAAGAGTGGCACAAGAAGCGCCGGCGAGCCACGGGGCGACTCACGAGACGCCCTCGGGCGCACACTGGGCGAGCACCCAAAGAAACCAGCCAGCGCACAGGTCACCCGCGCGACGAACAAGGGCACCCCTTGTGCGAAAACCCGCGGGACCCAGCCAACGCACAGGGGCACCCACGAAACGCCCACCAGGTGGAATTCTAGAACCCCGCCAGCGAACGAGGCACCTACGAGTCGCCCACGGCACCCACCTGGTCAAAACCTGGGAAATTCGCCCAAGTACATCGCATAACAGCCAAGTAAGAAGCCCTTGGCGCAACAATCGTTTCGGGGATTCAGCACCCGTGGATCCGTCGCTGTGGACCCCAACTCATCGGAAGGTTGTCTGCCTGGAAACAACAAGCGTGCCTCCGTGATGCTACATCGATGAGCTTAGCAATAAAGAATCAGGCGGTCTGAACGCAATAGTGATATCATAAGCTGATGCTCGTGTCATATACCAATGCCAATGGCATATTGCGAGATGCATTTACGTATGATCAGCGCTCTGAACGAGATGCGTCGTGAAACCAACGCGCCACTATGCCAACTGATGATATGACAGGCCCCCGCAAGCCGAAACGGCTGCCGTGATGTGTTCGCGACGTACAGGAATCCGGGTCTGTCCTTCACTCTCGCTCGTAATCAATCCTATGATTCCTCACGGTCACCATTCGGCCAAATTTTCAAGCTCGGTCCAGCCGTGGCTCAAAAAATTATACACGTCCTCCGTCCTCGCAACTCGTCTCGCCCGCTCATTCAACCGAGTCCCAGGCTCCTCCCACTCGCATGCCCGAGCATTCCTGGCCACAGCGTCGGAGTGGCAGGGGGGACGTGCCGATCTGGCGGGTGGTGGGGAGCGTCAGATGCGCACACTCCTCATCTAGTTTCACGGAGGACGTCGGCCTGACGCCCTCTTGCTTGCGTCGTCGAGACTATGACCGCGTCTCGCTCTTGCGCCGCCAGCCCTCTGCATCGCTCTCCCCGCCCCCAAGCGAATCGCCTGCGAGGCGCGGCGCGCGGCAGTGGCAAACGGGGCCGCCGGGTCACGTGAAGGGCTGCCCCTCGGAGTCCTGCCCCACCCCCGCGGCGGCGCCGGTCACTGCTGCTGCTGCTGCTGCTGCTGCTGCTGCTGCTGCTACTGCTGTTGACCCTCTCCCAGGAGGGAGGAGGACAAGGGAGGAGGAGGGAGTGGGAGGGAGGGAGGGAGGGGGGAGCGTCTCCCCTTCAAGTTCGATTCCAGAGGGCGCGAGGGCACTAGCAGCAAGCTCGCGCAGACTCCCTCATAGTACATGTTGGCGTTCGTGCGCCTGGGCCCAGGGCGAAAACGCCGCCGGAGCCGGTGCGGCAATTGGAAATGACGTGTCAGTGCGAGCTGGCGATGGGACGCGGGCTCTGGCTGCAGATCCGACTCACTGACTACCTACCAGACCACCCCAACCCAACCCGAAGACCCCAATTTCGGGTTGGGGGGGGTACGGGTTCCATATGTGTTTTTCTATGTTCCCCGACCCCCCCCACTGGAAATGGAGGGAAAATTGAGGCCTTCGGGTTGGGTTGGTGTGGTTTGGTGGGTGGTGACTCACGCGAATATGATTTCTCCTCCGCGGTCGAGGCGCTCGGCATGGACCTCGCCTCGAGCGGCTCGCCTGCGAGCCGCTGGGCCCACGCCGGGAGGGGCGCGGCTCGCCCTTCGGCGGCACCAGGCCGCCCCACAGGCGGGCGCGGGCGGAGCGCGAGGCCCAGCCAGCGCCCGCGCGCGCGCGCCCCCGTGCGGGCCCGGCCGCGGCGACACCCGGAGCGCGAGGCGCGATCCGCAGCCGAAGGACTGCCTGGCGCCAGGCTTGAGACCCCACACCCGGTGGGTCCACACAGTGCCGTTGGAGGCCTGGAAATTGGCACCAACACCAGCGCAGGGGTTTGCCTCCACGAGGGGAAGATGCTCCCACATGTCGGTGTTGGCGGGATTTTTTCGGTCACCTTGGAAGCCAGAATATTACCACCATCACCGAGATCGGGATCGTCTTCCCTCGGTGGAGGCACACCGCCGATCTTGGCGTTGGTGTCAACCTCTAGGCCTGCGATGCCGCCCCGCCCCGCGCTCCCCTTCGGGGAGGCCCGCCGCGGCGCAGCTCCGCCGATCGCGAGCGCGCGGCCGAGCCGGGCTCGGCGAGGCCGCAGGGCGGCAGAGCGCGCCAAGGTCCGCCAGGGCGTCGGGGCCTGGAAGGCCGGCGCGGGCGGGCCGGAGCCCTCCTGTGCGGAGGCGGGTGTTCACGTCCGTTGGTGCTGTAGGCTGTGGGGGCTGCGGGTCGATATGTGGACACGGAGGCCGAAGCTGGAGAGCCGAATGCTGGAGTGGAACGGAGCAGCTCTCTTGGCACGAGGAATCTCGACCGAGAACTCCCTCGGGGGCGGCCCACAACCGAAGCCCATCACTGGCAAAATAGGCTTCTCACCTCGGCGCGTGGGCTGCACGCGGGGCTCCGCAGTTCCCGCCCCCTCGAGACCTCCAATCTCGGAACGTGTGGCTTCCACGCAGCTGGCTGTTTACAGTAGGGGCCCGACGACAAGAAGCCTTCCAGAAGAAACCCAACCCTGAGACCCCAGGACTTCATTGGTTTTTGATGTGGGAACGTCACGCTTTCCATAGCAAAACCATCGAACCCCGAGAAACCCAGGACACCCTGGAGGCAAGCAGGTCGTTTCTTGGCATGGGCCCCCACTGTACTTGCGGACCACAAGGCCTGAACCAGGACCCCCAGAGGGCCCCAAAGCGAGAGAGCTCAGCCGCCCCATGTCCAAGACCCTGGAAATCGAGGTCACGGTGTAGTTTCTGAGCCGTGCACTTGCCTACTGATTGCATCTCGTGGCGTCAGCGCCGATGTCTTGGAGTGATCGTCGAGCTCTAGCTGCTGGAACGCGCCCCGACCCCCGAGAATCTCCGAAAACCTTCCGGATGCTCCCGAACGTGTTGAAAACGGAGCCCCGACCCTCGAAACGTCATAGCCAGAACCACGCGCCCAAACCGCTGGCATAGCCGGTCTTCCCCGCGGTTCGCCATCCTCGTCAAATCCCAAGTGGGGTTAGTTCTGTTTTCTATGAGAACCTCCGCGCAGGAACCTCCTCATTACCCTTCTTAGACCTTCTTCTCTTCCTTGCCCGGTCGTCATCATCTCTACCATGCGCAATTACATACGCACATCATCATCATCATCATCATCATCATCATCATCATCATCATCATCATCATCATCATCATCATCATCATCATCATCATCATCATCATCATCATCATCATCATCATCATCATCATCATCATCATCATCATCATCATCATCATCATCATCATCATCATCATCTTCATCTTCATCATCATCATCATCATCATCACCACCACCACCACCACCACCACCATCATCATCATCATCATCATCATCATCATCATCATCATCATCATCATCATCATCATCATCATCGCCATCATCACCATCGCCCCCATCATGGTCCCCATCCTCGACATCATACTCACCATCATCACCACCATCATCCCCCCACATACACACAAACACACACAACTTCATGCACTCAGAGATCCTATGACCGTCGAGCGCATTGCGAGGAAACGTCGAGCGGAAACCCCTCCCTAGGGGATCACTGCCTCGCGCTTCTCATCCGAAGTGGTCATCCATGTCGTGCGACTGTCGTCACTTTTGGGCTCCTGAGGTGTGAGCAGTGAGGACTCGATCGAGAGCCTCGCCTGTGAGTGGATTGTGAAGAAGTCTCGGGCGCCCTCCCCCTGAGGGGCCCCCTCCTCATGTTTCAAGTCCGAGGGTGTCATCCAGATCAACAAGTATTCCACATTGCAGAAGAGAGGAGGGAGAATGGCGTGGGGAGAGAGTGCACGAGGGCAGTGTCCCAAGCTTGGCCGAGTGAAGGTGGCCCAGGCGTGCCGCTCTGAAAAGCCCTCCCCGCGGCCCGTCCTCCTGCTCCACGGGGGCCAGGGACCGCAGGAAGAGCTGCAACTTCCTGCCGCGCCGAGGAACAAGTCCAGCACTTCAAACATGTGGCACCACTGAGACATGGGTCCCCAGGCCGGGGGGGCCCTGAACAATGCAAACTCAACCCAGAAGCCACTTCCTGCCTCAGGGCCCCATCCCTCCGGGCCCCACCTCTCAAGCCCCGGCGGGTGAGCAGGGGGAGAACTGCGCCGTGACTGAAGGGGGGCGAGAGGAACTGCGCGGGGATGGGGGCAGGGACCCCAGACCCCTGACGTCATGAGTTCTGCACGTCAAACCGCGGAGGCCTCGACCCATCCCCCAGGACAAGCGTTTCATCCCGAGTCGTGTTTTGACGGCCCCAGGGCCCAGCAAGAGCCCTCAGACGCCGAAAACAGCGAAACGCCGCCCGTCGTGTTATCTTCATGACTCTAGGGGGTCTGGGGCAGAGGCGGGGGCGTGGCCCGCAGATCTCGGCGGAGACGACCGGCGGAGAGGCGCCGCTCCCCTCTGGCCCGAGAGCCCCCGTGCGCAGCCTGGCAGGCGCCCGGCGGGCTGGGCGGGCAGGGCGAGCAGGGCACGGCCAAAACTGGCAGTGAGTAGGCGCGGCGAGGACGCGTGACCCTGGGACACCTTGGCGCCACAAGCAGGTCGGGCATGGGGATTGTGTAAGGACAGTTTCGAACAAATGCAGAAATATACAAAAGCCATCATCAACAACAACAACAGCAACAACAGCAACAACAGCAACAACAACAACAACAACAACAACAGCAACAGCAACAACAACAACAGCAACAACAGCAACAACAGCAACAACAGCAACAACAACAGCAACAGAAACAACAGCAACAACAACAACAATCATGTTAAGACTGTTCGCCCTTATCTGCTTGAGTGTCCAATAGCGCCTATTTCCCAAACCCTCGATACCCGCCCTCTTCGTCTTTGATCGAACCCCTTTTGGGGGGTATACCTTTCTTCCCTGCAGGCCAGGTCCCGGCAAGCGGCGGGGCGGCCGCGGACCGTCGGCCTGGCCTGCGGCAGCGCTGATCGGCGGGGCGGCCGCGGACCGTCGACCCGACCCCAAGAGGGACGGGCAGGGGACCGACCTCGACGACGACGACGACGTCGACGAAGACGGCGACGACGACGACGACGACGTCGACGATGACGGCGACGAGCGAAAGCGAGAGCGAAAGAGAACGACAGCAGGGCCACAAGGACACGAAGTAGACCACGAAAGGCAACAGCGGGGACACGAAGGGAATGCGTATGGGGCCACGAAGATCGCGAACGAGCGGGGGCCACGAAGGGCAGATAATGCGGGGCCACAGAAAGCAACGATGGGGCCACTGAGGGTAGCAACTGGGCCACGTAGGACATATGCATATGGGGCTACCACGGGCGCGAACGAACGGGGGCCACGAAGGGCATACATATATGGGACCACGAAGGGTAGCGAGGGGGCCACGAAGGGATTCGACGGGGCCACGAAACAAAGCGAGGGGGCCACGAAGGGCTGCGAGGGGGCCACGAAGGGATGCGACGGGGCCACGAAACAAAGCGAGGGAGGGCTGCAACGGGGCCACGAAGGGCAGCGAGGGGGCCACGAAGGACTGCAACGGGGCCACGAAGGGCAGCGAGGAGGCCACGAGGGGCTGCAACAGAGACACGAAGGGCAGCGATGGGGGCCACGAAGGGCTGCAACGGGGGCCACGAAACAAAGCGAGGGGGCCACGAAGGGCTGCAGCGGGGCCACGAAGGGCAGCGAGTTCCCAATTCCTATGTAATCTGTGAGGGAGTCCAAAGCGTGAGCGCGACTCCTGGGTGCCTGGGTGTCGGGAGCGCGGCGCTTGAGTAAATTGCAAGAAATTCCAACGCAAGGGCGCTATTCTTCAGCAATTTGCAAGCAAGTCTCCAGCGAGAGCGCGACTCCAGAGCGCCGGGAGAATAGATTTTAAGGAACTCTCGAGCGAGAGCGCGATTCCTGAATAAAACGCGAGGAAGTCTCGGGCGGGAGCGGGGGTCCTGGCTAAATTGTGAGGAAGTCTCAGGCGGGAGCCGCTATTGTTGTAAACCGGGGCCAACGACACAGTTTGACCCTCAAGACTTTCCCTGATAAAACAGGGTGTGGGCCCCATCGAAAAAAACAATGTGCACCGGACGGGGGGGATCAACTATACTTATTCTTCATAAATGAGAGTTCAACAACAACAACAGCAGCAGCAACAACAACAACATCGTCCCTGGACTATGTTTTGAACTATTCTTGAATGTTCTTCCTGTAGAGGGACATGCCCGACTCAACGCTACGAGGGTCTTGCATCCTGCCTGCTGCCCACCCCCCCACCCCCCCCTCCCTCCCCTGCCTCGCTGCCCCGCCGGCCCAGCCCTCTGCCTCGCCCGCCGCCCGATTGGTCGGGCGTTGGCAGAACTGGGTTTAGTGGGACCTGGTTTGGTGGTGTGGACTGGGGAGCGCCCCCCGGCCCCTGTTCCACTAACCAGAGCTGCAGACCTGGCTTGGACAAACTGAAGGGCTCCGGGGCCCTACCAACCAGGGGTCCCCTTACCTGGGGCCCTGGCTACATGACCCGACCATGGCCCCCGGCCCCCGCCAGACCCTTGGACGCTTAACTGGATCCACGATACAATTCATGATCCAGACATGTTAAAAACCAGTGAAAATTTTTAAAAAATACAAAAAATATCAAACATAGTTTAAAAAAATAAAAAAATGAAACAATAAAAAAAACAATGAAAATTAGAATGGACGCCCACGTCGAAACCTCTCGAGCGGCTGTTGCTGCCCCCCTCGTCGTCTGGAGGCCCCTGCCTGGCCCCGGGGCCGTGCCAGCACGCCTCGGGAGGAAAAGCATGTCCTGGGGATTGGGTCGAGGCCTGTGGGGGTTGACGTGGTGAAGAGATGTTGACGTCAGGGGTCTGGCCACCTTGTGGCCCCGATCGCTCCATGACTTCTTGCTCGGCTGGGAGAGGCCCTGCCCCTTGGCAGCTCCTGGGAGTGGCGCCCAAAAGGGGGCCGCTCATCCATCGTTCGCCTGGTAATGGGGGTCAGACTACTGGGGTCAGAGTCAGCGAAGGGAAAACTAGGGAAAACGAATTCTCTCAGGAGTATACTGGCTTGGATCGGGCGCCACATGCATAAACATACCACTGGGACGGAGTCCCTAGGAAGCGGCAAACACTGGTCCGTAGCGAAGAATCGGGCTTCGAAGGCAACTTAAGATAATCTACTACATCGTACTAAATGAATCTAAATAGGCGCTTGCATGCCGATGAGGCGAAATGAGGGAAACGGTCATAGAACATGAGAGATGCCACAAAAACGTGCGAATGCTCGCCGTGAAGCGGCGGGCCCCGAGAGGGAGCATGAGCCATGAGAAGAAGGCCGGCTGCACGTAAGAGTGACCCTGGGCAAGAGTGACCCTTGGAGCGCGGCTTTTTGGGCGCCGCGGGGGGGACCAAACACAAGTGCGCAAGACGCTACTACCCCAGACAAGCGACGTCTTGATTTTTGCAGGACGGCGCCCCTGGAAATCCCGACCCTCTCCCCCGGGCCGGTTTTTCATCCTGAGATGTTTTTGACGGTCCCGAGGCCCGGCGAGGGCCCCCCGAGGCCGAAATTGTCCAAAACATCCCGTCCTGATTTCTCTACGACGCGATCCTGTCTGGGACCGCATCGCGCTCGGCGATCGGAGGACCCCAGTGGGCCCGCACCAAAGGTCACCCCGGCGAAGGGCCACTCCTGCCTGTCATCGAGGCGGGAGGAGGAGGCGGAACACGAGCAGGCAGCACCAGACCGGCCCGAGAGGCTGCGCGCGCGGCGGCGCTGTCGGACCCGCCGCGCGGGGACGCATCTGTGAGGAGAAACAAACCGGGACATGATCGCGTCGTAAAGAGATCAGAGCGGGATGCTTTGGACAACTTCGGCCTCGGGGAGCCCTCGCCAGGCCTCGGGACCGTCAACAAACATCTCAGAATGAAAAACTGGCCCCGGGGAAAGGGTCGGGACTTCCAGGGGCGCCGTCCTGAAAAATCCAGACGTCGCATGTCTGGGGTAGTACCACCACCGCCAGCTGGGGGGTTGGCCGCTCCCTCCCCTCGAGCTGGTGACACCCCCTCCCGGGAACTCCCTGGAGGCATGCCCGGAACGAGGCACCACCAGCTCGAGAGGGTGGGACAGCCACTCCCCTGGCTGGTGGTAGTGGCATACCTGTGCCTCTGGTATAATCAAGCCCTCGAGGGGAAGGGGCCCCGCGCGCGCCATGTCGGAGCAGAGCGGCCCGGCGAGAGCTGCGAAAAGGCGGGGGGGGGGCTCTGGCGACGGAGCCCCGCGCCGCCGTTTCGGCGCAACACGTGTTTATTGTTGTTGTTGTTGTTGTTGTTGTTGTTGTTGTTGTTGTTGTTGTTGTTGTTGTTGTTGTTGTTGTTGTTGTTGTTGTTGTTGTTGTTGTTGTTGTTGTTGTTGTTGTTGACCGGTTCCGTTTTGCCGTTTCTTTGCAGGTTCCGACACCGTTTTTGTACTGGTTCCGTCGCCGTTGTTTAACCAATTCCGGGTCTGGCTCCAATCCTGGAGCCGTTTCTGTTGCCGTTTCCGGTCGCCGTTTTCTTCTCGTCTTCATTTTTCAAGAGACACTTTTTCGGAAAGGGTGAAAACACGGCCCTGCCGTTTTGAAGGGGCCCAGAGACACACAAATCAATACGCACAAATCCCATGAGTCCCAACAATTTCCATATTTTTTGGCTTGCCGCTCCCCCCCACTTCACATATTTTCTGATATTTTCCAGGGACTCGATGATTCATTGTGTCTGTGTGTTTGTTCCCTCCTGGCGTTTCCAGGGCCGGCCCACTAATGCGGGATGACGATCAATAAAAAAATGGGAGAGAACGATTTACAAAATAGTTTTCTGCTATTTCTGCATAGTTGTCTAACTGGAGGAGAACGATGACAAAAAATAGTTTTCCAGCCCGCGGCCGGTTTTTTCTAATCGTCATCCCGGGCGCCGCCGCGTGAACACGACCCCCGGTCATTTATTAATTGTCATCCTCCATTAAGGGGGGGGGCTCTGGCGACGGAGCCCCGCGTGTCGCAAGCCGCGAGGGGGCCTCCGACTTCCGTGCCCCCGATGCAGGGCCGCCACGGGCCCGTTGCAGGGCAGGGCCCGGCCACGCTGCTGGCGGTGCAGGTTACAGCCAACCCGTGCGGTGGAGGCTTTAGATAAGGATGCCTTCGATGAGGAGCCCAGAGATCCAACGTATTGAAACAATCAAGACGGACTTGTTTCGCAAATTTCTGCTTCTAAGGGCCCTCACTGGCCCCCAGGACCGTTGAAACACGACTCAGGATGAAAAACCAGTGCTCGGGAATTGGTCGACCCTTCCGGGGACCCCGAATCGAAAAAATCACGACATCGGATCTCTGGGAACCCAGGGTCTCGCAACCGATGGGCGGCTGAACGTGGGCCACTCACCTCGCCTTGCAACAATAAGAAGTGCGCCAGGGTCTGGGCCACAGGAAGACGTTCCTTGTCCAACGCCGCCGCCGCACCATACGGATGCACGGTGAGGATGCAACGAGGCTGGCAAGCGAACGTCGCTCAGGAGGGGCCAAAGGGGCAGGGATGCAAGGGTACCATTGGGAAGGTTGCCCCTCATGACTGTGCGGGGTGACTGTAACATCGGTGTTGGAGAATCCAATCCAGCTTGTACGACGCCGAACACGCCAAGGACAAGTTGTAGGAAAAACGAACAGCGCTTTCCTACAATCGGGGTGGCCACGAACTCTGCGGAAGCGCTAGCAGCAACACGCAACTTAGAAGACTGCTATCCGACCACTATAACATTACACGAACTCTAAGCGGGACCGCTAACACAAACACAACTCAAACAGGTGATTTTAGTTGGTAGTCTATGTAATAAGGTTACTCTTGCGATCGACGTTGTGTCCGTTTTTAAGTCCCGGCCTAACAAGGATCGTACGAAGCCTACTGAGTGCACACTTATGGGTCACGTTAGCTGAAGTAGATAAATGATAACACTGGGCACCGTAGACAGTACTCACTGGTGTGACACGCGGAATCTGACTACCGACGGACATACCAAGGGTATGTTAGCGACTTGTTGCTACAGGTAATGGGGGTACGCGATCCTTTAAGCACGATGTGAAGACGCACACACCCGATAGGGCTCAGACATCAAAAACTGAGCCTGGCTCTCAACGATCTGGCGGAACGTATATTCCTCGCGTGGGGACACGCTGGATTGAATGAGCTCTCTTTTGCAGCCTATGCTTCCGTCTTCTGTGCTCTGTGCCTGTCCTACTTGGGTGGGGCCAAGCCGACTTTTTTGCGTTGCACTCGTGGGCACACGCTATTCCAATCTGCCACACTTTCTTCTCAGACTCGACGCTGGCACCTGGCCTAGTCGGGTAAGGCTTGTCGTGACCACTACTTATGTCACGCGCGAGCCCCATAGCCTCGAAACAGTTAAGAGCTGAAATCATATCCTTACGCTATGTGCGACGATATCCTCACGCTCGCTACCGCTCGTCTCCTCACCCCTCGACCCTGAAAGTAGGTCAGAGGACTGGGTAGTATGTAAAGCGTGCGTAGCGAGCGTCCGCGCAAGCGCTTGTTGCTCAAACGGATGGCGCTCTATTTGCCCGGATCGTAAGCGTACCTATCGATCCGCTATTGTGTCGGAAACGAATCCTACTCCTAGAAGATGTCTCCCACACCTATCCTTTATCACCATTACTACATCTCACGATGTCTACCTCACTTTTTGCTTCCCCACCTCCATCGTGACGCTCCGACTCCGACATCACCACTGGCTACCCCGTCGACAGTCCATCGAAAAGACCAGCGAGAAGGCGACGAAGAAGCCTGTGAGGAGGGGGCAGCAACGCAGGTGAGAGACCTACAAGACCACCTATCGGGCGATGAAGAGTACGATTTGAGATGTCATCTTTCATTCGCATTGGCAGGAACACCCCCGCATCGGATCGGGAAATCGGATCGGATCGGAGCGTGCGTCGAGCTGGGCCGGATTGGCATACAGTCGGAATGGAATCGAATCGGCGGCGCCAAGATGCACAACAGCGAAGTGCAAACATGGGGCCGCATCGGTTCGCTCGAACATCTGATCGGATCGAATCGAATCGAGCCCGCCGGAGCCGATATCGAATCGCATGGATCGGGGCGAAATGGATCCTGACATGGGACGCACAATTTAACTCAATAGCCAACATTTTTACAAAACCGCGGACGACTTGCATGTCGACATGCAGACATGGCAGATACACGTCGTAGGTGACCATCTGTGTATCTGTGAATGCATGTGTATCTACGTAGATAAATGTGTGTAGTGTGAATCCCATCGAATATCATCTATTCATGTATTCACATTTGTGAGACGGTTGACGTCGACATGCCGATGTAGAGAAGTATATATATATATATACAAACACATATATATATATGTACATGTATATAGCTATGTATGCGCATGTCTGCAGGTATCTGACACATTTACAGACGTATCCTATCGAGGTGTACATCTAGTTTCTACAAATTGAACCATACATGCGCTCAAACAGTATCTCTGTACACCCCATGTGCGCAATATGACGGTATGCACATGTACACACGTATTTGCGTATATGCATCTATGCCTCGATGTACAAACTACATATGCACGCGGGCCTGAGGTATCGACGTCGGCGCTGTTCGGAAGGGCAGGAACGGGGAACACGATGTCTTGAGACCCTTACGGGGCTCCAGATCGGGACAACATCGGCGCTTTATCCAAAAAAATTGGCCGCGGCATCCCCGACGTGACTTCAAAAGATCGCCCTATCGGCCAGCACTTATGTATACACACATGGTGTGCGTATGTATACTTAGCAATTTGATTTGCATGTCGGTTTGCATTCCGAGGTGCATGTTGACTTGAATTTCGACTTAAGGTTCGAATTGCATGCCAATTTGCACCTCGATTGCAATTTGACTTGCCTTTCGATGTGCAAATTGCATTGAATTTTGCTTGGCTTTGGGGTTGCATTTTGAATCGCATGTCGATTGGCATGTCGATATGCACTTCGATGTGTATGCCGGCTTGACTACTGATGGTGCTTGAACGTGCATGCCGGCTTGGATAATAGTCACAATCGATCGTCACCATCGTTGACCATGACCAATGGCTGTCATCATCATAATCGGTAACGGATCGTTGATAATATTCGTGGACCACCCACGTACCATCACCAACCATTGCCGATCAGCATCAACCATCATCACCGGAATCGCCCACCACCGGTCATCATCATACATATACCCATATACCGATCGATCTGTCGGGGACGACCGCGGGTCAACCATGGGAATACCGCAGGACAACCGCGGGACGATCCAGCCACCGAGAGGCCGCACGGAGACATGCTGCTCTGCCCCCTCCCCCCCCAGGGGAGCCCAGTATCGAATCGACAAGTCGGATCGGCGATCAAAATGAACCGGATCGGCGGAAATCGGCAGGCTAGTATACCTCCAGTAAGAAATCGGCTTGGAAAAATCGGAATCCGAGGGCGAATCGCATCGGAACCCGAAAGCATCGCAGTCGAATCGCATCGGAGGAATCGCAGCGGTCGGCCATTGCCCCCCCCCCCACCCCAGCGCCCCCCCCCCCCAACGCCCCCCCCCTCCCCAAACACCCCCCCCCTCCCAACGCCCCCCCCCCCCAACGCGCCGGCCTCAGGTACATCGAGCGCCAGTGCGTCTCTATGTCGTGGTGGCCGGCCTCCTGCCCGCGACAGGCCCCGCCCTTCCGCGGCGGCGGCGGCCGTCGGTCGCCGTCGAGGCCGCAGCCGTCGTCGTCGCCGTCGTCGCCCACCGCCGTCGTCGGCGTTCGCGTCGTCGCCGTCGTCGCCGTCGTCGTCGTCGTCGTCGTCGCCGTCGCCGCCGCCGTCGCCATCGCCGTCGCCGTCGTCGCCCGCCGCCGTCGTCGGCGTTCGCGTCGTCGCCGTCGTCGTCGCCGTCGTCGCCGCCGCCGACGTCGGCGTTCGCGTCGTCGTCGTCGCCGTCGCCCGCGGAGGCGTGTCGATGCGGCAGCGCGCGGCGGCTGCCCTGAGCGGGGGCACGCGCGTGCTCGCCCCTGGGGCAGGGGGAGAGCGGCGCGGCGCGCGGAAAGCGCACGCGAGCAGCAGCAACCGCCTGGCTGGTGCACGCAGCTCGAGAGAGCGGGAGAGCAAGGTGCCCCACGACGCAGTGGTGCTCTCAGGATCGCTCTGTTCTTGGCGTGGCGCCTGGCGCTCTGATCTGCAGCCCCCTGGGGGGTCGAGCCGGGAGCCTGTTTCCAGACTGCCGGGCTAGCGAGCGGCTTCACATTGGTGCTGGCCAACCTGGTGCCTGAGCGCCGTGCCCTGGTCTCATCGCAATCCACTCCACCCGTTGGTCTGGCACGGGTAATTGTTTGTCAGAACGTCGGGCAAATTCAAACAGAAACGGGCTCATGCATTTCATGGGCACAAACACCGTTCGACCTTCTGTAACACCCAATGCTGTGCCCTCCTCTCGTGAGTGTGGGAAAGAAGTTGTGTTGCGCCATCGTTTATGCTTTGCTTTTGCTGATGCGCAACATTGGTTGCATTCATGCTTACCTTCGTGGTCAGCTGACCACCTCTTCTCCGCAATCATGTCCATGTGTTCCGAAGAGAACGCACCGGGACCCAAGAAACTCAGGAGGTCCATGAGGAGGACAGAAGAGAATCAACGCGAGGACAAACGAGAAGAACAGTCAGAGGAGGATGCGCAACCAAGTAGGATGATGACGACCAAGGACTGAGGAGGGTGGAGGATGGAGGAAAGCTCCGCCACACTTCTCCGCCCGTCTCCTCATTTACCCCCTCGTCGTCTTCCTACTGCACCTCTTCATCACTCTCCTCGCTTTCGTCGTCGTTGTCGTCCTCATCCTCCTTGTCATGTCTCCTTTCGCCGTCATCGTCCCTCACCCGACCTCGCCGTCGTCGGCCTCCTCCTCATCCCCTTCCACGTGCCTTCTGCGTGTCTGGCAGGCAGGCCTGCGTGATGAGTGGCGGGCCCTGCGTCCATAAGATTCCCGCAGGGGTCCAGCAGTGTCCATTACTGTACTTCCCTCCGCCTCCTCCTCCTCATCATCCTCCTCATTCCTCCCCCTCCCCTCCCTCTCCCCACCCCCTCCTCACCCTCCTCATCCTGCCCCTCCTCGTCATCCTCCACCTCCTGCTCCTCCTCCTCCTCCTCCTCCTCCTCTTCCTCCCCCTCCTCCTCCTCCTCCTCCTCCTCCTCCTCCTCCTCCTCTTCCCTACCTCCTCTCCCCCTATTCACTCGACTATTCCTGACAAGCCGACGCCAACGGCGCCGCCGCCAACGAGTGCCGCGGACGACGGGCGGGCGGCCGCGGCGGCGCCGACGGCGCAAGGCGGCGGGGTCACCGCGGGCGCTGGGCGGCCGCGGCGAAGGCGGTGGCCGGGGCGGAAGGCGGCCGCGCGGGCGGTCGAGGCGCCTGGACCCACCACGGCTCCGCGGCGAAGCGCGGGGGGCACGCCTCGCGTCGAGGGGGCCACCGATCGTCGTCGTCGTCGCCGTCGCCGTCGCCGTCGCCGTCGCCGTCGCCGTCGCCGTCGCCGTCGCCATCGCCGTCGCCGTCGCCGTCGTCGTCGTCGTCGTCGTCGTCGTCGTCGTCGTCAACGTCGTCGTCGTCGTCGTCGTCGTCGTCGTCGTCGTCAACGTCAACGTCGTCGTCAATGCCGTCAATTACGTCGTCGTCGGCGACGTTGCAGTCGCCGCCGTCGACTACAATGTCGTCGTCATCCTCGTTGAGGATCGGGGGTCTACGAACAAGGTCTCAAGCGTTCCTCGGTAATGCCTGGACCTTCGCGGGGGGCTCTGTCACCGTGGCCGGGTCCGCCTCGAGATTCTAATCATGGCGCGCTGCAGTAGCGGCTGGGAAGTTGCAAACGTGGTCATTTTCGCCGTGGTCGTCGTTCATGTCTCCCATGAGGCTGACGCCAGTCTAAATGGGATGGACAGGCCGACACCTATCTTAACTCGCTCCTTGGAGGCGGGGGAAGGGGGGCTCAACTTTCAGTGGTCGTGACCTGCCGCTCAGGTCCGCGGGGCTCCACCGCCTAATACGACATCTGATCGTCCGCGCCGAGAGCCCGAGGTGCTCCCGAATATCAAGCAGGTGGACGAGCAGCGCACCAAGCGAGGACGAGCTGCGCAAAGCATAGCGAACATTGCTGAGGGTTGGAGACGGCCGGGGGGTCTGAACTAGAGGGGACCCCAGAAATCGGTCAGGAGGGGGGCATGAGGCCAACTGCATGACAAATCGGTTCCCAGACCTCTCCCGAGGTCCATCTGGTTCAATGTTTCATCCCGGATCCGTTTCCACGGTCCCGCGGGGCCAGCAAAAGGCCCCCGGAGGCCGAAGACGGCAAAAGAAAAAAGCCGAAGAACCCAGAATTAGGTCGGGCATGTCCCCATACAGGCGGATTTTTTGACGAAGCACTATGCAACCGCAACGCAACATATTCAAAAATGATATTCAAGAAAAACCGCCCCCAGACGATGCTTCGACTATGTTTGAACATTCTTCCTGTAGAGGGACAGGCCCGACTTAATTACACCCAGAGCCTCGAAACTTCCCGCCCGTCCTGCTGGCTGGAAGCGGTGCCGAGCCACCCGACGGCTCCACGCTGCGACAGCGCGCACGCCTTCCGCCGGCGCAGCCCGCCCGCGCGCATGCGCGCCCTGCCCGAGCCTCCTCCTCCTCCTCCCCTCCTCCTCCTCCTCCTCCTCCTCCTCCTCCTCCTCCTCCTCCTCCTCCTCCTCCTCCTCCTCCTCCTCCTCCCTCCTCCTCCTCCTCCTCCTCCTCCTCCTCCTCCTCCTCCTCCTCCTCCTCCTTCTTCTCCTCCTCCTCCTCCTCCTCCTCCTCCTCCTCCTTCTCCTCCCCCCCCCCCCACTATGGTGTTGCCCTCGGCGCGGCCCAGTAGTAGGGCGGTGGGGCTAGGGCGGGGGGTGGGGGATTCTGCTGTCATGACTTCCGCCGTGCGCGCAGAGCTTCCCCACAGGCGGCTTCGGGGCGTTGTCGGCGCGCGTCCTCTCGCAGCCCTTGCCTGCCAAGCTGCGTCTCGCTCGTTCGTCGCCATCCCCCTCCGACCCGTATCCTCTTCCTCCGTAAACCCAAACACGCTAGACCAGGACATTCAACAACCCTCGAAACGATCTGCTTCCAGTCGGAGCAACGAACAGCGACTGCACTGCAACGCTCCCAGAATAAACCCGGACAGTAGCCCCAAAAGCCCGCACAATCGCTCGTAGACCCGGACAGAGGCCCGAATCCTGCAGCGCAGCTACGCAAGCACATGAGACTGCACGACCGAGCCTGATGCTGCAGAGAAGGGTGCCGCCGCCCCGACTTGCCAGGGTCCTGGTTGGGCTGTGCCGTGGTTTACCAGCTTGAAACATTTCCCTCTCCCTATGTTTGGCATCGCCCTACCGCGATGCCGGTCTTAAGGATTTCCGCAGTTTCTGATGGGCACGCCCCTACGATCGTCACCGTGTTTTGCATGCCGATCTTTAGGAATAGGGACACATTCGAGTATGGTTACTGGTCTCCCGGCTTGACTCCTCCCGCCCGCTCACGCCGCACTGCCCAGCAGGCCTTGAGCAGGGACCGACCGTCCAGCATTCCTATCGGCCTACCACGACATGTTCTTAGAACCCAGACATGTTCTGGGAACCAAAACCATGTGCTCAGAACATAAGCCTCATGTGGTAAAGCAAGAGACAGCCCCAGCCAGAAATATATCCTAAGAACAGCTCGTGCAGGCCACAGAAGATTATTATATAGCCTTCCTTGGCAGGGCGCTACCGGCGAGCCAGGACGCTTCGCCCCTGCTTGAGGGCCGCCTTCCCTCCCGCGCGGGCGGCTGCGGCCAGGCTGCCCCTTCCCGCTTGCTCGTCGCCCTCACTCTCCGCCTGCCCGGCCGTCGACGGTCGGCACGCGCCGCGGGGCCTCCGCGAGCGGCGCGCGCCGCCGCCGCCCGCGCCGTGGGTCCGTCGGGAGCTCGGCGGCGGCCCTTTCTGCGGGTCCCGCGCTGCCGTGCCGCGCCACGCCTCCCCCGTTTCCTCCCTCTCTGGAGGAGTGGAGCGTCTATCGAGAGCCCCTCAAATGCCAGTTCCTATCGAGACGCTTTTTTCGCTCGCGGTTCCGCCCAGGTGTGGCAGCAGTCAGGGGGTGCAGCATGTGTCTGAAGACGAGCTATCTGGACTCGGTAAGCGCCCGATCCGATCTGGAGGAGTGGAGCGAACGACGTGTGAACACAGCTGTCGGGGCCGAGGAAGCTTCTGCTGATGCAGACTTTTCTTCGACTCTCGAGAACGGGTGATTGCGGCGCCCCTCGAGATCGAGGGCGCGCGCGCGAGACTTCACGCTGCGTCCGCGCGTGCATATTTGCATGCTCTGCGTGCTCTGTGGCGTCCTCCTCTCTCTCCTCCTCGTCCTCCTCCTGCTCCCCTCCCCCCCTCTCCACCTCCACCTCCTCCTCCTCCTTCTCCCCCTCCTCCTTCTCCTTCTCCTCCTCCTCCCCCTTCCCTCCTCCTCCCCCCCCCTGCACCCGGTCCTCGTGGAGCGCTCGGCCGTGCTCGATGGGCACCTCCTGTCGCGCCGCGGCGCGGCCGCCGCCACCGAACGGCGACCGAGGGCGGCCCCGACTCGGGCCCCGACGAGAGCCCCGCGGTGGAGCGCCCTCATGGCAGGGAGGAGGGGGGGGAGAGGGAGAGGGTGAGCGGCGAGGGAGGGCGGGGAGAGGGAGGGAGGAGGAAGGGAGGGAGGGAGAGGGGAAGGGAGGGAGGAGGAAGGGAGGGCGGGAGGGAGGAAGGAAGGGAGGGAGGGAGGGAGTGGGACACGAGGGGGGGGAGGGACAACGACAGAAGATCGATCGCCAGGAGGTCGAGCAGCTGCTACCCTGGCCTCTCTCCGGGGGGGGCCTGCGCACGAATGCGAACGCTGGGGCCCGCGCAGCTGTGCATCGCTCTGCACACGGGGGCTGGGGGGAGGGGAAAGAGGTGGGAGCTGGGGCGAGCGAGGAGGGAAGACGGAGGATAGAGTTAGGTCGGGCAACTCCCCCTACAGGCGGATTTTGGACGAAAAATTAAAAATAGTCAAACATAAACTGTTGGCGCTCCGCGCGGATTTCTTGGATCTCTGGTGGACCCCCCTCCATGGCGCGCGGAGCGCGCCAGGGGCGGCGCCGGGGGCCCATCGCAGATCCAAGAAAACCGCGCGGAGCGCCAAAAGTTTATGCTTGAGCCGCTGTTGTTTCCTAACCTTCCTGTGGTGTTGGGTCCTCATTTTGAAGAGACAGCGCCCCGCGTCACTCCTCATCTCCTCTCCTCTCCTCTCTTCTCCTCGCTGCCTCCTCCCCCTCCTCCCTCCTCCCATCCGCCTCGTCACCTCCCTGCGAATCACCCACCCAGTACAGCAATTCGTGGCCCCAAAGGGAGCTCCACCGAAGGCTCCAGTGGCACAGGCCGCATGCGTCAACGCCACCCATGACAGCGCGTCGTGGCCCCATAGGGAGCTCCACCGAAGGCCCTAGTGGCACAGGCCGCATGCGTCAACGCCACCCTGGACAGCGCGTCGTGGCCCCATAGGGAGCTCCACCGACGGCTCCAGTGACACAGGCCGCATGCGTCAACGCTGGCCAGGACAGCGCTTCGTGGCCCCAGAGGGAGCTCCACCGAAGGCTCCAGTGGCGCAGGCCGCATGCGTCAACGCCGACCAGGACAGCGCTTCGTGGCCCCAGAGGGAGCTCCACCGAAGGCCCCAGTGGCACAGGCCGCATGCGTCAACGCCACCCAGGACAGCGTTTCGTGGGCCCATAGGGATCTCCACCGAAGGCTCCAGTGACACAGGCCGCATGCGTCAACGCCGGCCAGGACAGCGTTTCGTGGCCCCAGAGGGAGCTCCACCGAAGGCTCCAGTGGCACAGGCCGCATGCGTCAACGCCGACCTGGACAGCGCTTCGTGGCCCCATAGGGAGCTCCACCGAAGGCCCCAGTGGCACAGGCCGCATGCGTCAACGCCACCCACGACAGCGCTTCGTGGCCCAATAGGGAGCTTCACCGAAGGCTCCAGTGGCACAGGCCGCATGCGTCAACGCCACCCAGGACAGCGCTTCGTGGCCCCAGAGGGAGCTCCACCGAAGGCTCCAGTGGCGCAGGCCGCATGCGTCAACGCCGACCAGGACAGCGCTTCGTGGCCCCATAGGGAGCTCCACCGAAGGCTCCAGTGGCACAGGCCGCATGTGTCAACGCCACACATGACAACGTTTCGTGGCCCCAGAGGGAGCTCCACCGAAGGCTCCAGTGGCACAGGCCGCATGCGTCACATCGCTGGCTCCAGGCCACCGCGCGTCAACGCCACCCAGGGCAGCGCTTCGTGGTCCCAGAGGGAGCTCCACCGAAGGCTCCAGTGGCACAGGCCGCATGCGTCAACGCCACCCAGGACAGCGTTTCGTGGCCCCATAAGGAGCTCCACCGAAGGCTCCAGTGGCACAGGCCACATGCGTCAACGCCGCCCAAGACAGCTCTTCGTGGCCACATAGGGAGCTCCACCGAAGGCCCCAGTGGCACAGGCCGCATGCGTCAACGCCGGCCAGGACAGCGCTTCGTGGCCACATAGGGAGCTTCACCGAAGGCTCCAGTTGCACAGGCCGCATGCGTCAACGCCACCCAGGACAGCATGTCGTGGCCCCAGAGGGAGCTCCACCGGAGGCTCCAGTGGCACAGGCCGCATGCGTCAACGCCACCCTGGACAGCGCTTTGTGGCCCCATAGGGAGCTCCACCGAAGGCCCCAGTGGCACAGGCCGCATGCGTCAACGCCACCCAGGACAGCGTTTCGTGGCCCCAGAGGAAGCTCTACCGAACGCTCCAGTGGCACAGGCCGCATGCATCAACGCCGCCCGCGACAGCGCTTCGTGGCCCCAGAGGGAGCTCCACCGAAGGCTTCAGTGGCACAGGCCGCATGCGTCAACGCAGCCTAGGACAGCGTTTCGTGGCCCCAGAGGAAGCTCCACCGAAGGCTCCAGTGGCACAAGCCGCATGCGTCAAAGCCACCCAGGACAACATTATGTGGCCTCACAGGGAGCTCCACCGAAATCGGTACCCACAATGCGGTACTCGCAACTGCCTGTGTATGGGTAGGTCGTCAAGCTAATTCTTCTTCGACGATCCACCCTTCCTTTCCCCTGAGAGGAGGAGGAGGAGGAGGAGAAGGAGGAGGAGGTGGATGAGAAGGAGAAGGAGGTGGAGGAGGAGGAGGAGGAGGTGGTGGAGGAGGTGGCGGAGGAGCACGAGAAGGTGGCGGAGGAGCACGAGGAGGAGGAGAAGGAGGAGGAGGAGGAGGAGGAGGAGGTCCTCCTCCTCCTCCCCCTGGATCCCGAGGGCGGCAGAACGCTCTGGATCCCGAGGGTGCTCCGTCGCCGCCGCCGCTCGGCGGCGCCCCCGCCCTCGGCGCTCGGCCCCGACGGGGCCCCGCTCCCTTCGCGCGCGTGCGGGGCGCCTCCCCCGCGGCCTCGAGCGGGCTCGGACCGCCGCGGGAGGCACGTCTTCGGAGTCCCGGAGCGGTGCGGTGACGGACCGTGCGGTGACAGACCGCGCGCTGCTCTACGACCGCTGCTTCACTGCACAAGGCAAGCCTGCCCGCCAGCATGCGAGCGCGCACCTCCCAGCAGCGTCGGGCATGCGCCAGCGACTAGCTCCTCGCGAAGTTGGGCGTCTCTGCACCCGTGTCTCTGGAGTCCCGAACCGGTGCGGCGACAGGCCGTGCGGTGACCACGACATGCCCCCCAAGACCTCACCGCACGGTGCGTCCACGCACGGTCTTGGGACCTCGGATGCCCCAATCGCCCGAGGCGTCCTCGGAGAACGGCCCGAGTCCGAGAACCGTGCGGTGGCCCCGAATCCCCACCGACTCACCGCACGGTGTGGTCACCACCCCGCTTGGGGGCCCCCGAAGGTCATTCTCTTTTGCACAGCTGTGTTCTAGAGCTCGGGCCTCTACATTTTCGCTCGTCGTTCGCTCGTCGTTCGTCCTCCCCCCCAGCCACGGAAGGGAACTTCCTGGAGGCAGGAGGCGAAGGCCTCCTATCCCTCGCAGCTCCTCTGTGCAAGAGCCAGGGCATGCGTGCAACGTGTTAGAACAGCAAAGAGGCCTCGCGCGGACACTTGAGAACCAACTCTCGTCGACGGATCCTCGTCGGATGCTCGTCGGATTCACGTCGGACGACGTCGGATTTACGTCGGATCCACGTCCGATGTCTGTCGGACTCAGGTCGGAACATCGCCGCGCGAACGTCGTCCCACATCTGACGTAGCGGCCGTGCGGATTAGATAATACAGTCATTGCGCGGCGCGCGAGGCCTCCCGGACTGCCCTCATGAGGATCGAGGCGCCGGGGGCCACGGGGGCACAGCGAGACGGGGCCGATCGACGAAGAAACAAGGGCACAAACATGACCTCTCGGAGCCCCGCGCGGATCTCTTTCCTCGGCGCTGGGCCCCCTCTCTGGCGCCGCCTCCGGCGCTGCCATCTGCGCGCCAGGGAGCGGGGTTCGGCGCAGATCCCAGCAATCCGCTCGGAGCTCCGAAGGTTTTTGTCTATGCAGTTGCTTCTATAGTTGGCTTGGGCTCTTCCTCCAGGCCTCCGTGAAGTACCGTGCTCCTGCATGCAGAGCCGAGGGCCGCCTGAGCAGGGGCACAGCCGAACGCGGCGATCGACGTGTCCCGTGCCGCTTGCTGCGGCCCCGTCTCTGGCGCCCTGCGAGGCGCTGGAGGCGCGGGGCCCTGAGACTTCGCGGGGGGGCGTACAGTCGGGGCGATGACCTAAGGAACCCTAAATAAGGAACGAGGTCCCTTTATCTCATAAAGTTAAACTTCGATTCCCCATGGGAAACTTCTTCAGCGCCCCGACTGTGAGACTCGAGTCTGGAGCGTTCGAGCGGGCCCGACGGGGCAGGCAGAAAATATGGCGAGGCCCCGTCTGACGTGTGACGCGAGCTCCCGCTGCAGGCATCCCACGAAAACCAGACCGTCAAAGTTCAGGACGGGCCCGTCCAAAGGACGTCGGCAAGCCCGAGGTCTGGCGAACTCGAGTCCGTGGGAACAAATCGTGGCATAAACGTAATCTGATGGAGGTCCACGTGGACTTCTTGGATCGGCGCTGGGCCCCCACCCTCCCTGGCGCGCGGAGCGCGCCAGGGGCAACCCTCCCTCCGGGGTCCGAAGCCTCCTCGGCACGCTCCCTAACGAACGCCCCCACCGTATTGTTCGCCGTTGCTAACGTGAGGGCCGGCGATACGGGGGGACTGGCAGAAGGGGAGGTGCATCGACCTGGAACCGGCGGTACATCGCCGATAAATCGGCG